TGGGCACACAAAATATTCCTACTACTACTAATATACTACTATTACAGATTTATGTTATTATTATTTACTGCTTTACTAATGTCCGTTAAAATATCTTCATTTTCCAAGTAAATAATGATATTTGTGATTGTTTACAATTTAATCAGCTTATATTTCTGCTCTTGCCTCCGATGAATATTTCTCTTGATCCACGCTGATTGGAGAAGCTTTAATTATGCCACATTTTGACTAAAACCTCTAACTATCAACTAACTAATGTAATTTACAATTAATATTCAAGGTAATACGCAAATACAACAAAATCAATATTTAATGATGAATAAAATACTGAGAGGAAATATCAGTATAGTAGTAACTATAATAACACGGTGGTAAAAAATAGACATTCAATCATTTAATATAGTTCACAGTTCATATTTAAATACACTATGNNTGAGTCAGTCCAATCAATGTGTGTTACTTCATTAAGTTTTATTACATATTCATTTAAAAGCTTTAAAATAAAAGAGTGAGTCTTTATTTTGGTCATTTTCTTTATTAAATCAAAATATCACTTTCAGGATTATAACAGTATTATGACATTTAGTTTATGTATGTACATGCATACTGGAAAAGGTTCCCTCATTGAGTCCGATCTCTGCAGAGAAACATCGATCGAGTCCTTCCATAAAACTTCAGTGTTGAAAATTAACAATATTCTCTAAAATAAACGTTTGATTATTTGATCCATTTGAGGATTTAGTGTCAAAAAGAATGTGAACCAACCATGAGCTGAATGAGTTACTTTATATTTATGGTTTTCGTCTGATGTCGAGAAGTGATGAAGCCTTTTGTGTTACAGTACAGATAATGTACTAAAATACGCCAAGATCTGTATTTGTAAATACCAGTATAGCAACTTTTATAAAGAAAACTCTTTCTGTTAATCATTCTCCTTTATCAAAAACATTTTTCTTATAAAGATTGCAACTTCTGATCAACCTCTGGTCAATTTCAGGCTTTAATGTTGTGTTAGCACCGCCCACTCCAGAAACAAATACAGATAATGGCATACTCGCTCATCCCTACTAGAAACACTGCGTGTGAATGAAGGTTTCATATTTGAGTTGTTTTTGGGGAATAAAACTGTTGCACGTTACTTATATCGTCTGACCTACAGTCCAAAATCTAAAGGAAGTCAAATTATATAGTTTATAAAGCAAAGAAAAGCTTAAAATCTTCATATTTAGAGAGACAGCAACCAGAGACCGTCCGCTGAGACCGAAGACCTGGACCTGGACCTGGACCTGGACCGGTCTCAGGATGGTTTAAAGAGAAACGTCTCTCCACAGAAATCAACACAAACTATCAGACAGAAGTTTGAGACGGCAGAAACAATACGATGTGAAACAAACATCTGTACGACGTTCTAACTGGTTTATCAGGAGAAAGGATCTGGTTCTGCTCGGTCCGCCCGGCCCGGGTCTTCCTCTCGTAGCGGCGTCCATCCTGACGCTGAGTCACGGTAACTTTGCACTCTCGTTGTAAAGATTCAGAAAAACGTAATGTACGGAAATGTTCAGTGTTAAATTAAAGGTTTGTAAAGGAGTTCTGTTAGTGTTTCCTCAGCTGACGTCACGAAGAGCAACCCGGTTAATATTCCATATAATAATAATAATAATAATAATAATAATAATAATAATAATATGTGACCTGGAAATAATCGAGGTGCTGCAGTTGAACCTTGTTGGAATTTACCGACTAAGCGAACTAACTTTTGTTTGTAAAATTGTTATTATTTTGTTTAATTTGAGTTTGTGAGTCCTAATCTTCGACAGTTTATATAACAGACAGAACTTCTGGTCTGGGAAGTCTTAAACCTGTATTTTTCTGTAATGACCAGCAGGGGGCAGCTCCACTGTTTGCAATACACAGATACCTCGTCTTGTGGAGAAGTTGATTGATGAGCTCAGTAAACAGTTTCCTGATGAGTTTCTGGTTCAGTCCTCTAGTTTCAGTCTTCTTCCATACAGCAATGATGTTCATTTAAGTAACTGATGGTCCATTTAGAGTCAAACAGACCATAAAGCCGTCATTGTTTCCAAACCAAGAGCAGCTCAACTCGCAGTGCGTCAAACTTCAACCTCTGTGATGGAGTGCAAAGTTAGTAAGACTCATAATCAGACTGAAGACCTTTTTCACAGCAGCCACTTTAACAAGAAACAGAAGAGAGCTTTAATGAGGATCACTGGTTTACCCTACGAGTTCATGTGAAAATGGCTGCTGTGAAACTACGAGAATAAGACCTGTGCCCTCGGGCGTCGAACCCTCCATGAAACTACTTCCTGAGATCATTTCTGTCACTGCGAGCGGAGCCGAAAGGAATGTGTCCAACCTGCAAACACAACAAACAGATTCATGTTGGAACGGGTCTAAACTCTCCCGCTGTACATCGGGACGCGTACGTTTAACTGTTAATGCCTTCAAATCAGATAAATGGGATTCAGTCGGAATATAAAATCCAGGATTGTGACGGTGCAAAAATACTAGAATGATACGGGAGCGTTTTCTCCGAGCGGCCCTCGAAGGCATCACAGCCCGACATTAAGGCATCCATGGGGTTTCACTGTCTAGTCCGTCTTTTTGTCTTTCCCCTCCTCGTCGTCCGTGTACTCCGCGGGCTCCTCTCCGGGCTTCAGCAGCTTCCCGATGTAGTCGTACTTAACTGAGGAAGAGAAACAAAGTTATGTACAGCCTCGGGAGCGTCCAGAGGAAACTCTACGAGGTTTAAAAGCTTTTGGTGCCAACGAAAAACCTGAAGTCTCAGCATCGACTTTTTAATTAGTGGTTTAAATTCTAACATCTGGTCACATCTGCACTCACAGGTGAACTGGGTCTCCCACTCGGAGAGGCTCTCCTGCTGCATGGCGTTCAGGTCCGAGAGGTCGTCGGGTTCGTCTTTCAGCGCCTCTTTCTCCAGGCAGAACGTGGCGAGACCTCTGGACGCGTCCCGGCCCGCAAACACTCCGTACGGTCCGTCTGCAGAGACACACAGCGAGACGCTCAACAGCCGCAACACAATCACACAGAACCGCCGGGAATGTGTCGCTGCTCGTCTGGTGTGGGGGAAGAAAGTAATAGATGTTAAACGCATTAATCTGAACGCCCTGGATCATTTAAACAGATCACTAACAACATTTTACACAGGTTTTATAACCTTCTAGCAGATAAATCGCAGTAAAGAGGCAGACATGTTTACAAGTTTAAACATTTTGATTTAATTTGCCGTATTTTTCTGCTTCCAGCCCCTAATATGTTATCATACAGCATTAGTGTGGTGAAGAAGAGATGAAAGCAACAATGAACTGTTGTTACAGCTCCACTGTGTCCAAACTGAATGTGAGGTTCAGAAACAGGGCTAGTTTTTCCTTTCAAACACACAATGTTTGTGTAATGTTTGTGTATTGTTTGTGTATTGTTTGTGTAATGTTTGTGTATTGTTTGTGTATTGTTTGTGTATTGTTTGTGTAATGTTTGTGTAATGTTTGTGTATTGTGGTATTGTTTGTGTAATGTTTGTATGTTGTGTATTGTTTGTGAATGTTGTGTATTGTTTGTGTAATGTTTTGTAATTGTTCTGTGTAATTTTGTGTATTGTTTGTGTATTGTTTGTGTATTGTTTGGTAATGTTGTGTATTTTGTGTATGTTGTGAATGTTTGTGTATGTTTGTAGTATTGTTGTGTATTGTTTGTTATTGTTGGTAATGTTGGTATTGTTTGTGTATTGTTTGTGTATGTTTGTGTAATTTTGTGTATTGTTTTGGTATTGTGTAATGTTTGTGTATTGTTGTGTATGTTTTGTATTGTTTGTTATTGTTTGTGTAATGTTTTGTGTATTTTTAGTTTATGTGTGTAATGTACAGGAGGAGAGGAAGACAAAACCATTTAAATATTTACAAGCACTAACAAACTTCTTGCATTCAGGCTACAGGAACAGGGACGTCTGAACTGCTCAACTGTTCTTTACTGACTTTCGTTCTTACTCGTCTTTCTTTAACTCGTAGTCTTTCACTTCGCTTCGTTCTTTAACTCATCGTTCTTCTCAGAATTTATCTGGCTGTTTAACTGTAGTTAGTAATATATAGGTTGCTTGTTTGTGATAACGTGGGAATTTTATTTTTTTGACCTTTTAACTCAAGTTTCTCAGTTTATCTGGTACTTGACTCATATCTCCATCAGTTTTTTTTTTATACCGATATTTGGACTTTAATTCTGATTTTAGCTTTTATTACTTATGAATATTTTTTATTTATTATCATCAGAAAAAAAAAAATTCATTCTTTATATTTATTATTTGAATCTTTGTATTTAATATGACTTTTAACTCAAATTTTAATTTTAACATGAAAATGTTTTACTTATCCTAAAAGGCTGTGGTAATATCCTTATAATGTATTATTTTGCTCTCTAATTGATCTTCATCGTCCTTCTTTCA